AGCAGAAGCTGCGAGAGACGTTTGAACTAAGATCACATCATTAATATTGAGCAGGGCACGTGGGCGGCGCTCTTCGAAAAGGATAGATTTCATGGAGAGATGCTTTCACCCTTTACGAGTCCGATCTATTTGTCACAGAGAAGGGTTCCGAATTGAAGTAGGTACTTCGGGTAATGAATGAGCTACTGGCTATATCTCGAAGACGGTATGTAACGAAATTGTGAGCACGATTATACGCTTGTCGCTCCTTTGATACAGATGTAGACGTCGCGTTGCCTAAATTTATCTCAATAGTTAGAATTCATTTATCAAACATAGGCTTAGTGCACATTAAAAATATTTTATTATTTAAATTAATTTAATCCTTTATAAATTTTATACACTTACAATTCTTACTGGTGGTAGGACCTCTTGTGAGTCCGGGCGGGTACGTACCACCGCCCTGCTTGTTTCTGCCGTGAAGCAGTAGTGCGTTTCGGTTTAAAGGGTGGGGCAGCCGTTGTAACTATACTTGAGACCTTAGAACTTATATCTCAAGGTGGATGGCGCATTTACGTTGTAGATGTCTATGGGCTCCAGTAGCCACTTAACACCAGGTGGGCTGTGAGCTCGTCCAACCATCAAAGTAATAAAAAAAATATGTGTAAAAGCAACTGGATACTATGCTGGAACTTAAATTAACTGTTATTTAGACATCTTTTTTTTTATTGCCCTTGTAGGCAGACGAGCATACGGCCCACCTGATGGTGAGTGGTTACCGTCGCCCATGGACTTCAGCAATGCCAGGGGCAGAGCCAAGCCGCTGCCTACCGTATCTCTATTGTGACGATGGTTAATTTTGGTAAGCGATAGGTATGTAATTTAAATACTGAACATTTCACATGGTATATTTGAACTATAACAGTCTTTATAAAGGAAAACTTTAATAATAAATTTAAATATTTGGATGCTGTGCTAGCTACCGTGAAATTTTCTATAAAATTATTTAATGAAATTTAAGTTTTTTACTTTTGAGTGTAAAATGAGATTGCATTAAAAATATATTTTTATTCTATTGTATATTAATAATATGTAATAACAGATATATTGCATTAAATCATATTATGCACAAATATATCAAAAATAATATAGTAGCAGTAGTAGTATTTGTGATAACTGTTTCCTATAAAAAACATATTTATATTTACGTCCGATGGATAATGTGGTATAAGGTTTCGATTTCTACGACTCATGTTGTTTTGCCATTACGAATCTAAGATTTATGACTTGGATAGTATTGGAATTCCTGTACAAGGAAAATTAATATCAACTGAGAAGCGCTTGTACATTATATAATGTTTAGTCTAAAACAATGTAGGTATGCTAAAAGCAACTATTTAACAAATTCACATATAATAAATAGCACATATGAGTCGACTATTATCAAAGCCGGCAATGTGACTTTTGGACAATTATTGGTAAATCAGAAAAACGAATTATTGACTTTGTATTCCGTTGGCAGTCACAAAACTCTTCTGAACGACATCTTAGATAAATAACAGGTTAAGTATTAACCTTTATTTAATGCAGGTTTTGAACCGTATTCTTTGAAGGAGACGATTATATTCNCGGCAATGTGACTTTTGGACAATTATTGGTAAATCAGAAAAACGAATTATTGACTTTGTATTCCGTTGGCAGTCACAAAACTCTTCTGAACGACATCTTAGATAAATAACAGGTTAAGTATTAACCTTTATTTAATGCAGGTTTTGAACCGTATTCTTTGAAGGAGACGATTATATTCAAATCAATCTGTATTGACATATCAATAAAAATTTTTTGTCCAAATGCACAGATTGCCACCTTTGATAATAGACGACTCATATATAAGATGTTCATTCTTCAAATCCCAATAAGAATTTAGTTTATTACGAAAAATACAAAAAATGAATGAATTATAGTACCATTATTGTTGTGCAATTTCTGATATTCTCAAAAATCGATAAGGTGATGATGGAAATTGAAAAGATTTCAATGGTGGTTTTGTCTTTGTTATAAAATTAAGATTTGATTAGTATTTTATTAAAAGTAATTAGTCTTAGATTTAATAGTAACTCAATACCAAAGTTCATGAACATCACAACGAAAATGTAATTCACATTTCAAAGTATAAGTAATTATATTATTCGTGGCAGAAATAGGCAGAATGATCGTTAGAAAATTCATGGTGCTATATAGCTAAAGTGGTCCTACGTGCTACGAAATCTATTTTTCAGACTAAATTTAGAAGGTCCTAAGCAGCGGTCAGCGACTTTCCAATACCCATGGTAGTGGTCTGAACTACGGTAACCGCTTACGTAATGTATCCTGTCAAAGGCAATATTAAATAAAAACATAGTTATGACCACTCTGACTATTTCTGCCGCGAAGCAGCCGTCCGATTCAAAGGAATAGCCATTATAACAAAGCAGCCGGCAATTCGATCTTGCGTCATATAGTTGGCATCATACACGCTGTGGTATCTACAATAATATAAATAGACAAGAACAAAACAATTATATCTTGTATTGGAGTTCAACCGATTCTCCGTGCTTTAGTAGCTTAGCTAATTTAAGCTGAGCTTTGATGTTACCAAAAATATATTTGGAAATATATTTTTCCAGAACAAATATACATGACAATCGTAAGACAAAAAAAGAAAATATAATACATAAAAGGAACGCATTGTACTGGTGGTACGGCATCTTAAAAGCTTGCACGGGTAAGCACCACTACTCTGCTTCTTTCTGCATGCCTTTCTGTTTGAAGGGTGAGGTATTCATTACAATATAAAAACTGATAATTAGAACTGATTTCTAACGTGGCTGGCGCCGCGGCGCCGTTTGCTTTGTTAATGTCTGTGTGCTCCGGTAACCACTTAACACTAGGGTTCCCATATACACAGCCTACTGAGTTTCTCGGCGGATCTTCTCAGTGAGTCGCAATTTCGATCCTGTTGTAGATTCTGCGAAGCACTGCTCTTCGCAGGGCTTATGATAACAAATTTTCTCAGGTCGAGCCAGTGAGCTCACTTACCCGTCCAAGTTTAACTGGAATAGCCCCTTAGGTTACCAACGAATAGGTAGGAAAAAAAGACATTTATGGACCGTCCAATCAACTAAGCAATAAAAAAATATAAATCCTGATATGTCAATGATTATGATTGAATTTCTGGCGAGCAATAGTTTATTGAAACGATTAAATAAAACGTTTAAGCTCGTAAAAACGTTCATAGGATACTGATCAAAGTCTCTGTGTCGTGTGTCAATCGCAAAACACTATCCTATATACCTCACGGTAGCAAACATCTAAAATGTCCTATTGTGTAACTAAATCCTTTGCGTTTACTTTTTTTTTTGCGTACGAGTAATAAATTAAATAAAACTTCTTTCATAACGTTTCTGAAGAATATTATGGTTATACAAAAGATCAGTCAGTACTGGCTCGCTCAACCCATTAGTGTGGACTCGACGGGGGCTCATGATCACTTTGCTCAAGTTAATTTATGTGCTTTGTCGTTTTGTTCGGTACACAATAGTCGAATTTTATAGCGTTCGGCTGCTGGACATCCAGATTAACATCTACACATGGTTTTGGCTTTCTCTCGTTTTGTGCAAACGTACAATAGAGCTAACCGGACACACACCTGGCTTTAATGGGTCGGCGCAATGGATATTTAACATATAAAAAGCGTTCTGTGATATTAGTTTACAATGCACATAATTAAGAAACATTGGACTAAGAATTTAACTCAATCAATAATTAATTAGTATATTATATTGTATTATAATATAATATACTAATTATTAAATTAAGTGAAATTATATTATGTATCTATTGTGCACGGATCTCTACAGTGGCTGAATGAAACAATTGAAGGTGACCTTGGAAATCCCAATTTGATATTCCTCTTTCTATTTAAATTCATATATATGTGTTTGCACTTTTGAAATTATAATCTAATTATTGAGCTCGATATATCCGCCATCAGCTATATTAGGAACAGAACTTCTAATAATTATGAATATTTAATAAATAAAAAATACTTCAACCGAAAATCTAACAGCTAGACTCCATGGTAAAAATCACTATGAAAGAGTTATAAAAACATATTATATAAAATACACAATTGTTGATTATTAGATTTTTTACTCAAGGAATTGGATTTGGAATAGCTCTTGTACTGACATCAATTAAATCTATAATTCGTTAATGATCAGTAAGTTTCGCCCGAGATTTGTGTCCTACCCGAAAAGATGCCTGTTGTATCAAGTGAAGCGACTATGCCGGTGTTCTATCTTAGGAGCAGGTAAGAATTTTTGCAATGAAATATGTACCTAACACATATTAAAAAATTATTTCCACAATCGTGTTATAAAGTGTAGCAATCGTGTTATAAAAATTAAAAGCCCAAAACTTTTTAAATTTGTAGAATTTTGATTGTATTTGTTAGTTCGCACAAGTTCGTATCTGCTTTCTGCTTTTTCTGCAGCGAAGCAATCACGCGTTCTGGTCACGAAAAATGGGACGGCCCCGACATAATAAAATTGCCTAAAACCTCATGTCTCAAAACCGGGTACTATGATGTGAACTCGTATACCCGATATACGCAATGAAAATCAAATATATATTTATTACAAACGTTTATGTATATTATGAATTATTATTTCCGAGTATCATTCACTGCTTCAGTGTGCTTCTTCGGACAGTTACTGTTGGATTTCTTTCGGAGCAGGGCCACAATAGAAGCCAGGTTGATTTTAAAAACTTTCACTGATACGTACTGTAACGCACGTGCACTGCCACTATTGTGTACGTACCTTGCTCAATCCCATCATAATAGAATGAAGACAATAAAAAAAAAACGCGGGTTTAAACCGCAAAAGTCTATCTACATATGAAACAAATAAAAGTGATTGTAATTTCTAAATACCCTATTTAATTAACTAATTTTATAATGTAATTTTACGTAAATATTGTCATTCATTTTCGATTCGCATCTCTGTGTCGTCGGCACCGAAGTTTTGATTACGTCCCGACAATTCACCGTGAACCCTCACTCGGTACACGCAAGTATACACAGGATGTCCCCAATTAGTAAGCACGCGTATCCTTATCAAGCTGTACCCCTTCGTTGAAGGGTACAACACTTCAAAGTACTGGATCGGTTTGCCCTCCTTATCGTACTCAAAGGTACCAAAGTCGTGGGGGTACGGATCGCTGCGATATTCTAAGCCTTCCACTTGGAACAGTCGTGGCGCCGAAGATATTTCCCTGTAACAGAATCCGCATTTATTGACTTTTTACATAATTTCACAATGCGCAATGTTAGCAGAATCTTAGCGATATTAGATAAAAAAATATATATAATATTTTTATTTTTTTGAACAGTGTATTTAATTTTTGTAATTGCCATAATGAAAAGACTGCCTCACGGTCCACCAGGACCATCAAATCCACCAGGCGACCAGCAAATAAGAAAAAAAAATGAGACTAATGCTTGCCGTTGTCTTCAACATTCAAACGCATAAATGTCTATGGCCTACCTGATGGACACTACTGCTCACAGACACAGCCCACTGAGTTTCTCGACGGATCTTCTCAGTGGGTCGCGTTTCCGATCCAGTGGTAGATTCTGCGAAGCACGACTCTTGCTAGGGTTCGTGTTAGCAACATCGTAAGGTTTGAGCCCCGAGAGCTCATCTACTAGTTAAGGTTACGCTGATATAGTCTCACTAGACCATCAGCTTAGGTAGGAAAAAAAACTACTGCTAACGGACATTAAAGATGCCGGGGACAGAGCATCTGCTGCTTACTGCTGAGGACTCTCTCAATCCTCGTTTAAAGAACGACATATCTTAGGGCTCAGGAAACAACCTGGCAATGAGTTTATATTAGATGCAGATGCCAAATGGTAATTCTTTTTTATTGCCTAGATCGATGGGTGAGCTCACAGCCCAACTGATATTAAGTGGTTACTGGAACCCGTAGACATCTACAACGTAAAATTCCGCCACCAGCCTTGAGATATGGGTTCTAATGATCTCAGTATAGGCACAACAGCTGCCCCACCACCACCCACCCTTCAAACTGCTTCACGGCAAAAATAGGCAAGGTGGTGGTACCTACGCGTGCGAGCTCACAAGAGGTCCTACCACCAGTAAATACCTAAATTATAATTTTGCGCTAGATACGAATGCACCGGATGTCCTGTCCTTTAGGCCACAACGACTTCAAAAGAGCTGAGCGTACACCTAAAATTCCTAGCTCATCTTCCAAAATACCTAAGCTATTAATTGAAAAGTAATGTTATAATTTAGCTGACCTGGTTGGCGAGATATGCGCCGGAATATGCTCCACACTAACACCCATCACCTTCACAGTACCGAGTAGACGTATCATAGCTTGACCTTTCGATCCTTTGAACGCCCAGCATTCACCAGGTAAAGTACCTGGGCGGATCATAGCACTGGCCCCTTGACATTCCCTACACATCCACGACGTAATTAGATGTAAGCCCCAACTTATGGGCGACTCATAAACTAGGTGCTCTATCGTATCTCCAGTGTCTAATATGCGACCACCAGCGGACTCGAGCGCGTAATCAGCCACCTAAATCAAAATATGCTACTGTAGAACTTTACCTTATCTCGATTCACTGGTGGTACATTTAATGTTTATTCGTTCATAATTAGGGTAATGTTTAATAATCGATCGTTTATATGTAGACCTTGGATCAAACTCATAACATACATATGGTAATAGGGCGTCTTGTGTGTCCGCACGGGTAAGTACCCTGCCTATTTCTGCCGTGAAGCAGTAATGTGTTTCGGTTTGAAGGGTAGGGTAGCCGTTGTACTGTAAAATATTGAGACCTTAGAACTCATGTCTCAAGATGGGTCGCTGCAATTACGTTGGTACATCTGTGAGCTCCGTTAACTCCTTAAAATCAGGTGGGCCGTGAGGTTATCCACAGATCTAAGCAATAAAAAAATACATACACACTACCTACTTATTATAATACATGTAATCCATCCTGTAAATCTGGAATCATTAATGCATTCGTGGTCGAAATAGATTAATCATAAATTTGTGCAATTATATTAGCAGTAGTGCATTGTGTGCTAACTTTTGTGTAAGTAGGTACCACCACTGTGCCTACTGCTGCTACAAAGTAGTCATGCGCTCCCGTTGGAAAGGTGTAAGACCCCTTATACTATCTCTATAAATCTGGACGAAGTTTTTGAGACGGATAGCAGCATTGACATCATAATGTTCTCCGTAACCATTTAACACCCGCATAGTGTATCATCATCATCATCATCATCATCATCATCATCAACAGCCCAGTCATCCACTGCTGGACATAGGCCTCTCCCAATCCACACCACCGAGCCCGGTCTACGGCTCTTCTCATCCACATCTTGCCGGCCACCGTTCGGAGGGCATAGTGTATATTTGGTATTTTTGTGACAAAATCAATGAAAAAAATGATTTTGTACGAGAAAAGCGAACCTGTCTATCGTAATCATAATTATCCAATGCCTGTCGGCTGTTCTTCCTCAGAGATGGTTCCAAAGCGTCTTTAGCGCGCCCTGCAGCCGCAGCCACGGCAGGAATCACCGCCGACATCCGTTCCATTTCGTTTTGTAGCTTTTCGTGTTTTCTGTTAACCTTATAATATATTTTTTTAAATTTGAATTACTAAATGTTATTCTTCCGATTTTACATAAACATAACGTGATACCTCTGTAAGGCCGCGAGTAAGCTGCATCACGACATATTTTATATCTGAAAAATCTCCATCGAGCGAATCTGCAGATGGTCCCCAAAAATAAGCGTAGAAATTCAATGATAGCAGCAACGTTAAAGTCACGCAAACAAACGAACGAAAAACGTTTTGGAAACAACCACTATTTTCATCATCATAATCCATTTAGTGTATTCTTCGAAAATGTTTTCGTTTTTTCAGTTTTTATGACAACTTTAGTGTCAGTTTTGTCAGAAGAACGTAGAATGAAATTCGATAGGGGGAAATGTAACAGAATTACTGATCAGTCAAATGAGCGTAATAAAAACGAGAAAATATTTTGACAGATTTATTGATACAAAATAATAAATTTATTCTTATTACACAAATCGCAACTGGTTGTAGGTATCAGATGACACTAGTTTCAAGATTTTGGTTGCTTAAAAAAGGCTTTCATTTTATTTTTGTCCAAATAGCACTGCTCTATTATTTCAAGACACCTTTTCCATCTTCTAGTTAGAAATTTATGTATTTAACTAGGCACGTAAATACTGTGATACTAACAATCACATTTCAAAATGAAAAGGCAAAGGTATTAATTTAAACGGCCTAATCTATTCCTACCCTGAAATGGTGAAAATGAATCACTCAATTTTTGTGATAACAGAATAACAAGTCAGTCAATTGCAATATGTATAATAAACAAAGTTGTGACTGCGCTTAGGATTTCTGTTGTTGCGCGGCGTATTCGATCTGCGCCGCGGCGACGGACTTCATGGCCTCGTGCGCCTGGTGCACGTTGGCGCGCCACGCCAGCAGCACGTCGCGCAGCTGCTGCCACTGCTCGCGCCCGAACGTGCGGTGCATCGTGTTGGACACGCGGACCGTGCGCTGCGCCTGGTCCATGCGGGCGCGCACCAAACGAGTCTTCAGTACTGTTGATTTAAAAAAAATGTTTTATCAGTCTGTGGCGAGTGAGCAAGTCAACTCGCACATCTCAACACAGCACCAAAATCACACGATTTCGCGTCACATCAGGTGATCCAAGTGCCGTGTGCAAAGCCAGTTAAACCACGCCCCCTGCGACATGTCGCCGGCGTATCTTATTGATGTGTGTGAATGACGATATGAGAGAGAGAGAGGAGAGAGGAGAGAGAGAGAGTGAGAGAGAGGGGGGGGGGGAGAGGGGGGGGGGGGGGGGGGGGGGGGGGGGGGGGGGGGGGGGGGGGGGAGGGGGGGGGGGAGAGAGAGAGAGAGAGAGAGAGAGAGAGAGAGAGAGAGAGAGGGAGGAGAGAAAGAGAGTGTGGGAAGAGAGAGGAGTGTTGAGATGACGGCTGATGAAGAGAATGGAAGAGAAAAATTAGCCCTGCCCACCCCACCTAGTTTTATAATACGAAATAGATAGGTATAAAGATTTCTTAAAATAATAAAATACCTTCAATTACGAATGCTTCCACATCTTTCTCTTCAATTTGAAGTTCAGATATAATCTCATCAAATGTAAGGTCTGGATTTGTTTCTGCCATTTGCATAAATGACAATATTCTCATTTTCTTAATATTCTGTTCGTGGTTTAAGCCTGAAAATTATGAACTGCTATTAACAATAATTATGACTAGGAAAACTAGTTCCACATAAATTAATCTATATTATCACATCATCAATATATATTAATCTGGCAGAAAGTATTTCTACTTTTTGACTTAGCTATCTACAGTGTTACATATAATGGTTAGCAGAGTTTATAGTCATACAAAGTAAATAGCCTTGCATATATTGACATCTGCTGGAAATCATAAAAACCTTCTAATACTTGTACACTCGTTGCAGACTCGAAACGCACAAAATAAAACTGAAAAAGTGGTAACCCTTTTTGAAATTGTAACAGACAAAATAACATTTCTAACAGTTGCAATAGCTTACAGCTATCTGGTTGCAAATATTAACTTCAATCTAAAGCTAACAATAATCTAGTAATTTGAAGAAACATTTAAAATAAGGTATATAATTTTTTTGTAAATCCAGTTGACAGGTCTTTTTACTTTAGAATTTGTCTACTCAAGGATACCCTCTTGGGTTCTAGGAAAGTGCCATGATATCCCTATATTTTTTTAGTAGTTATGTAGACATAAATGAAATTGAGCATCTTGCAAGTTCTTATTAACAAACAACTGAACTAACAAGGTGTGTTGCAAATAGTTAGCCCTAGTTTTACCAAATGACAAATAGGGAATATACAGTAATATCATCTATTGCATTATTAGTAGAGAGTAAGTAGAGGAGTCAAGGTATAGATATTGGTCTACTTTGAACTCCAACTGAATAGTTCTTTCATTTTGTTAAAGTTTGTTTAGTTCATACCAATTTCCTTTCATTTCACCCAGTCCTTGTTCTACCTAGTCTAGCCCTAGTTGAACCTACAGTATAAAAGATTTAAACATATTTCTGCATTGTCAGATTATCATGTTCAACACTATTTTCTTGTTCAGAATGTTTTAGAATGTACCTTTTTACAACAGAGTGGATTGATGAGAACATAGGACAAAATTTATTATGGTGCCTGCATGGATGCATAGAGATAAAACAGGCTTTTACAGTGTATGGTGACAATCCCATTTTAATACTGGTAGTAGATGCTCAGGCATATTGTACTGGAATTCAGCCTTCTGAACACTACTAAATTACCACAGGATATGACCACCATAATCTTGTAAACTTTATTATGCTTTCATGTATGTTAAGGGTGGGGCAGCCGTTGTAACTATACTGAGACCTTAGAACTTATGTCTCAAGGTGTGTGGCGCATTTACGTTGTAGACGTCTATGGGTTCCAGTAACCACTTAACACCAGGTGGGCTGTGAGCTCGTCCACATATCTAGGCAATAAAAAAAAAAACATAAGAAATCCCAAATAAAGTTTTAACATTGCCCGCTATTTGCTCACCTGTACTAATAAATAAATAAATGCATATGATTACATCAAGCAAATAAAATTAATAATTACCTTGAGAATGTACAAACTCTTTATGATTATTATAGAATGTCTGGTAGCTTGACAACTTTTCAGATACAAAAATTGTAAGTAAATCGTGAATGAGCTCTCCTTCAAGGAAACGCACAGGTTTTAATGTTAACAAGGGATCCAGCAGAAATGTGTTGGGATCTGCCAATGCTGTCGCTATACATTTAATTGCGTCTTCTCTTGCATATGAAGCATTTTCATCTGTATATGTGCCCAGTAGCTCAATCATTACTTTGGCAGCTAGTTCACTGTAAATAAAATACATTTATATTTTTTAAAGGAACATTGAGTTGATATTGTACACTAATTCAAAGCGATTACAAATGTCTACTTACTTACTACTTATTTAGTGCCCTTGTAAGAAAGACATTCCTGTTCAAGGCTGTCGTCTTTTTAATATATTACGTACATAATCATCTTATTAGTAGATAGCAGATTTTAAAATCAGGCAGGTCCAATGACAACAGCAAACCGTTTATTTAAATTACTTTTATAATTTATAAATTTTAACACAAAACAAATACTACTAAAATAATTTTCAAATAGCAAAACATAATTCTAAGCATAGAATCTCTTTTGGTGAAATATCTATGCTATTTTGAGAAATATTAATAACAATGTTTCCTTAACAACCAATCAGACTTTGGTACATCACTCATAGAAATAATATGGTCATTCTTTAATAAATTTAATGTAGTGAGAACATACCTGTTTTGGTCTTTTAACACTTGATGTAAAAGCCGATACAATTTCTGCATTTGTTCATTAGAAGGTGGGCAGTTAGCAAACTCTTTCCTAAGCTGCTCAACTCCAGTGAAGACTTCCCTGACAAATCCAACTCGTGCAGCCAGTTCTATGACATGATAATATACATGGTATCTTAGAGGTGAGTTGGGTTCTAAGTTGTTGTAAAGTCTCCATAACCTATGAAACAAACATTTTGCAAAATTACTATCTTTCATTTGGATGAAAGTGATTGTCCTAAACTAAATACTGCTGGGTGATTATTTGGCATAAATTTTTTTTTCATTACTTTCCTGTCAGCAGTTCCACTTTTTGTGACACAAATAAAACTTTTGATGAATATACTATTACTTAATCATACTTCGATTCACACACAAGCATCAAGCATTTCTGTAAGCCTTATGCATTTTTCCCTAACAATCATTAATACATATTCTGCTTCAATTCTATAAAATACCAATTTGGAATTCTAGGATCTATTTTTTTTTATATTTTACTAGCGACACGCCCTCGCTTCGCTTCGGAAACTGTAATTTATTATTGATTTCTCCACTATTTAATGGATGTTATTATACATATAAACCTTCCTCTTCAATCACTCTATCTATTAAAAAAACCGCATCTAAATTCGTTGCGTAGTTTTAAAGATTTAAGCATACATAGGGATATAGGGGCAGAGAAAGCGACTTTGTTTTATACTATGTAGTGAAATTGAAATATGCCCGGGCTGCAGGGCGGGATCGATGGAGACAGTTGGTTGACGAAATCGGACGGAGTCACGATCCTCAGCAGTGAGGAACCGATCGAAGAGAGAGAGAGTGAAATTTAATCCCAAAAATAAGTAAATTTATTCGACACATTTTTTTCTGTCCCTAATGATTTTAAAATATTGTTTATTTGAAATTTAAATAAATTATAAAAAAATAATAATTGCAACATTCATTTGTACACTTTTATGGGCAGGACATAAAAAGCCTTATTCCCTATGTCATGATGGCTCTCTCTACTACTCTGACCGGGTTTTGACCCTGGACGGAGATCGGACGCCGGGTGTAAGAGTGCAGGGGAGTCGTTTAGTGGGTGGGCCCTAAATTCCTTGGGTCCGCGGTCTGCTCTCAACACCTGCAGATCCTTGAGTCTCACATACGCCGCGCGACCCCTAGGCGCGGGGACCTCGTAGGAGGTTCGGCCCTCGGCCCGGAAAAAAAAAAAAAAAAAAGATGGCTCCAACATCAACTAGCAGATTGAATCAGTCAAAAAATAAAGAATGTGGAACAACAAGTGTATGGATTTAAACCTGTCAGATTTCACTTAAATCTTTGTAACTAAGATCTGATAAGTGATGTAGTTGTAGTTTGGCGAATAATAAAGGTTACTTCCATAGTTAAAAAAACCTCTATATACTTACGATTGCAAAGCTACCATTCCAAGTTTAGGGCCAGGAGCCTTAGTGAGCCTTTGACTAAATGCTAAGATAAGGTTTTCTCCTCTTTCTAATGGTATCTGTGAATATTAGTTGCAATATATAAGTATGCGAGTCAATGACAGTGAAAAGTATGTAAGTCAACTGTCAAACATTTCTTTTTATTGCCCTTGTAGGCTGACGAGCACACGGCCCACCTGATGGTGAGGGGTTACCCATGGTCGCCCATGGACTTCAGCAATGCCAGGGGCAGAGCCAAGTCGCTGCCTACCGCTTAATACTCTAATTAATGCTAAAGCTAAACTACACCTAGATGTTTCTTATTAAAAATAACTATAGCTTTTGCGTTCAACTTACAGAAACCATAATAGAGACAATACTGTTCAGAATGGCTTCGATGTCCGATTCACTCGGCTCTTTGAAACAAGCATCACAAACCCCAACGATCTTATGCAGATCATCCTCAATGCCCTTAGGTGATTTTTCTTCTGAAATCTCGGCGCCAAGGCTCTTAAAATATCTTCTCAGTTCGAGTGCCTTCAATCAAGAATTTTTTTTATTAAAATTTGCATGTAGACACATTGCAGCAAATAATTTGTTTTGAACGACAGGTTATGTTGACATAAACTGACCTGATCTTCCAGGGATATGTCCATAAACACAGCTGGCCCTTGCATTTTAATTCCTTTTTCGAACTGTATTCTTTTATTTATTATTTATAAGCATTAAAGTGAATGCAAGAACGATTTCTTAGCAACGAAATGTGGCAAACGATATGACAGTTAATAGAGTAGTATTTCTAGTTTTTCCAACTGAGAAGGCAAAGGTATCATAACATATAGTCTAATCTTTTGTATATTGTTTTTTATGAAAAATGATATAGAGAGAAATGAATTTTAACGTGAGCACTGTAAGGTGTTAGTGTGACTTCAATTTGGTAAATTATATGATTCCCGAGCTTCTCCAACATTGCGCCTTGTTCCTCACAGAACATGTCCACTGTAATACTAATGGCATTTGATAAGAACAAAACTACACAATTTAAGAAATATGTCGACACTAGACCACTAAACAGTGATCGTGACTTTTAATAAAAAAATCAGTTGAATTAGGAATTTACTGTCAGAAATACATAAACTACGTTTCAAATGGTATTTTAAAACAGTATCTTATTGGTAAAGACCCGTTATCGTGGCAACTATATCTCGTAAAGGTTTTATAATGTATTTATTAATTTGTAAACCTACATCTGGCTTAAAGGTCTTGTTACCAAATCACAAAAACTTCAAAAAAGAAAAATACCTACATCGTAGGTAGTAAATTTTAATCGATAAACAATATTTTGCAGAAATCGGCTTGATATATTAATAAAAAATGCGTAGTTTTCGAAAATTTATAGATATAAGTACGCATATAAATGGCACAAAAGTGAAAAATAACCTACCATACGTATCTTCCGGTATACCATCCTTAGACCATATAGTTGGTAAGTTTTACTATTATGTTTAATGGATTAGATTGGCAAAACAAGATCAAATCAATTTTAAACAATTGTAGGGAACAAATTTAATTTATAAAAGTTTTTATTGTCATATATTTACAAAAATCAATAAAATAAATATGATTTTACACTTTCTAGGTGGAGGAATACCTGCAGGCAGCATTTTTGTTGTAGGTTTGTGAATTTCTTTTAAAATTGCATAATATCTTAGAGCCAAAACAAACTTAATAAATAAATATGGATATGAAATTTAATAAATAATCAAATTAAAAATATTTAGTTTTTTATCATAACTTCATTTAATTTTCAATACATTGCATTTTAAGAAAGTAAGATTAATATGATTTTTATATTCACACAACGCATTGTTATTAATTCCAATGAAAGGACTTTGTTGGAGTTTGTATATTAAATGTAATGGCAGGCAACACTTGACACTTGATTAGATTTCGAATATTGGAATTATTTTATATATAAATATAAATGACAGAGGAACAAATGCAAATGGAACAAATGATAGCCCATTAACAAATGAAAATCTGGTCATGGAAAACTTTGAGACTTTAAGTGACTTTGAGACATTTAAAAAAAAAAGTGAACTTGTGTTTTGGGAGAAATGGGTTAGTTTATAAGATTGATAGGGAAATTTAAATGCTATATACAACAAGAGATATAACTAAAAAAAGACAAGGATAATTCATAAAGTAAGGGGGTGTTTTCAATGAATTCAAAATTAAGGGGGTGCTCTCTTTCCACCGACATAAACAATTAAGGGGGTGATTAAGAAAATATAATTGTTTATTAATAATACTATAAATAAAATAGATAGTCTAGCCGTGGAAAAAGTACACATTATTGATACAAAAATATTTACAGTCGTTTTTTAATATCCTTTTGAGTCTCTTTTATAGTTTTGTTTTATTGTTGTTATAATAGATGTTAGGAATTTTACTTTATTATTTTGGTTTTAGTTCTTATATTAAAATGATTGAATGGTTAATAAGTAAAAGAAAGTGAGAAAATTTAATAAGTGAAAGATATTAAGATAATGAAAGGTTGTTATGGAAATGAAAAGTTATATTTGAGTTCGAGTGTTGAATAAACAAGCTATCTGAGGTTATTTGTTATGTTG